TGACCTAGGGAGGATTTTATTTGGGGTTTATTTTTTAACAATTTGACAGAGACACAACTTTAAAATTTGATTTAATTCGGTTTTATCGGGGGGGAATGTATTTATGTTTTGTTTTAAATATGTTGTGCGCCGCCCTGAGTCCCGTCGGGAGAAGGGCGGCATATAAATTAAATTTATTATTATTATTATTATTATTATTGATAAGAATTGTACTAGCTTGAATACAAGACAGTAAATGTTAAGGGAAAAAGAGAAGAAATATTTGATGTTGTAACTTGAGACTTGTACTAAAGATTTTGTTATCGAACTGTTGATTAACCCAGTCACCACGTTGCTTTTTAAATACTTAAATGTAAAATTGGAAAATTAATAAAATATTATTTATTTTAAAAAGGCAGCCACACGTAGAACGCATTATAATAATCCCAACAGGAACTGATGAAGGCTCGAGATCATGAGCAAGGCTTCCTGGTCCAGGAAGGGGCAGAGGTGGCACATCAGTCAAATCTGTACAAATCCTCCCTTGGCTGTGGCTGCCACCTGCTCCTCAAGCAGGGACTGTGAGTCTAGAAGGGTTCCCAAATTGCACACCAACTCAGCCCAAGGGAGCGCCACCCCACCCAGAGTCAGAGATTAAATGTCAACTGGGCCTAGGTCCTAGAGCAGGGGTAGTCAACCTTGGCTCTTTTATGACTCGTGGACTTCAACTCCCAGAATTCCTGAGCCAGCTATGCTGGCTCAGGAATTCTGGGAGTTGAAGTCCACGAGTCATAAAAGAGCCAAGGTTGACTACCCCTGCCCTAGAGGGTCGAAAATCCAGAGCCACTCTGTCTTGCCATGGTTGAATCAAACCAGTTTCTCCCCATCCAGACCGTTACAACCTCCAGGCACAGGGCCTACACTGTAACAGCATCCTTTGCCTAGAAGCGTCATGTATGTTAAAGGATCCTATCTGCTTCATTAGGAATTTATCTGCTGTGTCTTTGATATCAGAAAGAACTTTTGCTATGCTATCTGGATGTTGGAAGTCACTATTGATTCATATTACTTTGGGAAGTAGTCATTTCCAGAATTGACAAAAGGGCTGGGCATCAACAATGGAGAAATCCTTGCCAAGGCATTCTGATTTTTCAATATCAGGAACGTATAACTCTGTGGGAGCTGAAACTTACATTTAATCTTTGTGGAATACCACACACACACACACACACACACACACACACACACACACACACACTCCAAAGAATAAATGAACTTAAAATCAAATCTGAATTCATGTTATTTTAATAAGCATGATAGTAAATTAAACGAATATTGGTATTCACGAACTTAATAATTTCTCCATTTTTAGGACTATTGGAACAAGACATTCAGGATTAGGGATGTGATGTGTATGGAAGGAAATAATTAATTCTTCCTAAATCTGTGTAACACTGTTTAATCCAGACATTTTGACAAGCAACCGTAGTTTCATACATCATGCTAAGCCATGACTTGATTTTCATCCAGCATGATGTAATTCCATCTAATACTTAGCTCTGGATATTGGGCTGAAAGCTGACGACACTACTGATTTTACAGGAACAGGCTACATACTGTATATGATGAAATCCAGGTCAGTTTTATTTTCCAGCACCAGTTTTCTTCTGGGGAGGACAGTTTTGTAAGTATGGTAATGGCTCATCAGCTACTAATATTTTACACACACACACACACACACACACACACACACACACACACACACACACACACACACACACCATTCTTCCCTGAATAAACTCTAACTGCTTTTGAAATCGGGAGCGGGGGCTGGGTGGGAAGAATCAATATTAAAACTAAACCTCTTCACACATTTGAGTTGAACAAGATGGTTAAGCAGGCTTGAGCCCTTTAAAGCAACAGGAGGAAAAAATCCCAGAAAGCAGAAAACTGAGAAGGTCCAGTCTTCTGCATCCTAAACCTGGGACACTCTGATAAAAAAACAGTGACACATGGGTTCCAGTCTTCTTTCTCATTTATTAAGGCTGATGTCATATAAATACTGTATCGAACATTTAGATTATTTTCTCTCAGCAAGAGTTTTTCCTTTTAAAGAAAACCTCAAAGACCATGTTGTTCACTTGAAAACTGTTAAGAACAATTCTCTTTGCGTAGCAAATTTTGCTTAATCGCTATGCCAACTTATAATATTCTCATGGTGGAAAAAAGTAGTTACATATTGTTTAGTGGCAGAAAACCTATATTAACATAAAATATCCAGATAAAATACGTGTGGCTTTCTCCATTTGCTATGAAACCATTTTTTGAAGGCACTAGAAAATATTAACAAAAGCCACTGAGAGTCCTTTGTAGGAAAGTCCAGAGATATATTTTGGAGCATTATTACTACATTTGTTGTCTTGCAGATAACAGGCAAATCCCCTCGTGCCAATTTTCACCTCCTTACAGCGGATAATTCTCAACAATCATTGCATGGCCCTGCAACAAGAGAAGAGCTGAAATTACTCAACAAGAGAGAAACAAGATTCCCATCCCAAAAAAGAAAAAGAATGGGAAAATAGGATTACAAAAGAAAGCCTTGCCAAGCACAAGACAACTATGGTCACGCTACATTGAATCTAGAACCAATTTGGTCTGGGCGTTAAGGCACCAGGTTAGAAACCAGGAGATTGTGAGTTCTAGTCTTGCCTTAGGCATAAAACCCAGCTGGGTGACTCTGTCTCAGCCCAATCCACAGAGTTATTGTTGTGGGTAAAATAGAAAGAGAAAGGAGTACAGGCAGTCCCCAACTAATAATCATTCATTTGGTGACCGTTCAGCACTGAAAAAAGTGACTTATGAGCAGTTTTCACACTTATGACTGTTGTAGCTTTCCCATAGTCATGTGATCAAAATTCAAACATTTGGCAACTGGCATGTACTTAATTACAGATGCATTGTTCCAGGGTCATATGATCACCATTTGTAACCTTCCCAACTGGCTTCCGACAAGCAAAGTCAATGGGGGAAGCCAGATTTGTCTAATGACCGCATGATTCACTTAACAACTGCTGTGACTTGCTTAACTGACAAAAAGGTTGTAAAATGGAGCAAAACTCACATAACAATTGCCTTGCTTAGCAACAGAAATTTTGGCTCAATTGTGATTGCAAGTCAAGGACTACCTGTATTAGGTATATTTGCCGCCTTGAGTTTTTTAATGAAAACAGTAAAGGTGAGATATAAATAAATAAGTAAAAATGTAAATAAAGAAACTAATATATAAAGAAACAAATATAAATTGCTCATAGTAGGCTTCTTACCTGTCCTCCAGCAGCACATGCCGCCACTAAGGCATATTGTCCCCCTTCCTTCTTCAACCTGTGGGCAGCTGTGATTACTAAGCGGCAGCCAGTAGCACCAAAAGGATGTCCTAATGACAGGGATCCACCCCAGTTATTAAATTTGTCCAGAGAAGGAGCTCCAACCTATAAGTAGGAAAACAGTAAATGAGACTTCAAAATAAATTATCCAATTTCACCTATGAAAGAAAGTAAGTTACAAAACGTAAGCTTGAAAGACAATCAGAGTAAGTAACGTATCAACTCAGCTGATGTTTGCCAGATGACTATTTCAGCCACTGAAATATCACTAGAGAAGGAGTAAGTCTTCTCAGTAGTCTTCTCCACATCACTGGAGAAGGAGTAAGTCTTCTCACTGGACTTCAGACAACTATAAACATGATGCCTCTACTCCCACCATGCCCTCTATGAAGTTTCTGGACTAGGTTAGCAAGGAAAATAAGGTAAGCTGCAGGGACACCAGTGAATAGGAAAGACAAAATACAGAAAACATAACGGATATACAAATTCATAATAACCTTAACCTTACCTTTGTCTTTCTGCCCATATAGTTCTGGGCAAACCAATCTGAATCCATGGCTTTGAGATTTGCTAAAATTTGTCCCTATAGTGGAAAGGAAGGGAAAGGGAAGATTCCATTGCAGCAATAATATAGTTAACATATTTGCAGTCTGTACAATAGAAACATATATTGTAGCTCCACAAGAATTAACACAAACAACTAGCTGATAAGATACTTGAGATTTTACACATTTCCAAATCACTAAATGAAGCATTGTTGTTACAACTATCCAAAATAATTGGACCATAGTATAATGTGCCTTGCTTTGCCTTGCCTGGCCTGGCCTGGTTTGTGTGTAAATATCAGTGTGAGACCTTGCCCCAAATTTCTTTTTAAAAAATAGACAAAGAATTACAGGATTCAAGACAGACTTGATGCAATTAACATGCATAAGGACTGGGCTTCTGTACATAATGTTGTTTCTTGATTACTGGAATTAAGAGCACAGTCCTACAGCATTCTCATTTGCTTCTTTTATTCTATTGCTCT